GCAGTGCCTACTGCTGTTTCACTCCCCTGGTTTTGTAGAGCCTCCCAGTGCTGAAGCAGGAGACGCATTTCCTCTTGGAATCCTTCCAGTTCTTCCTGTCGCCTCCTCTCCACTGCCCTCATCTTCCTCTGCGCTTCCTGCAGTTCTGCTTCCAGCTTTTCCTTGATGTGCTGGAAACACAAATGGAGAGAAAGTTCCTGGCACCTGCCATCATGCTGGCATTTTCCCTCTGGCAATCTCAACATCCCATTCATTCAGCCCCTTGGTTCTGCTCCTCCCCCCAGCTCTGCTTGCAGCCTAAGCCTTCCTTCCTGGTGCTGGTCTCTGGAGCCTGCAGGGCTCTGTGCTTTCAGGGCCTGCAGTGGTCCCTCCCTCCTCAGTCCCAAGGTCCACGTTGAGGGCCCTTGTTACTGCCCTCCCCTCTGTCCCCGGGCTCCTCAGGCTTACCTGCCCATTGTCTCGCTCCTCTTTCACCTGCTGCCTGAGCTGCCCCAGCTGCTGCTGGGTTTGGAGCAGCTCTACCTGAGCCTGGCAGAGCCTCTCCAGCAGTGCAGTCTTCTCACGCTCCACTTCTTGCAGGACCTGCACAGAAAGGAAGACAAGACGGCTTTAAACTTCCCACACAGCGTTGGGGTGGTGAGACTCAAGGGCTGATCGGTCCATGCATTCCCCAAGCACTGTGCTGCTGCTCTCCTGGCTCAACCTCTGCCCATGGGGAGTCACAGACTGCTGATACATGGCTGCTAAAGCCTTGCTCCTGTTTACAAAGGGGCATCTAAGAGACAGTTCTCCCCAGACAGGTGGTGTCCAGGAAAGCACTAGCAATAGGGAGCCCAGAAGATTCCAAAGCACCACACAAACCCTCCTCTCACACTCTTTCCCACTCGCTTGGCTCTGGCTCCCACCTTTTCCTTTTCGGCTTTCACGCTGGCAACTTCCTGCATCATCTCACCGAGCGTTCTCTTGTGCTCCCTTTCTACTTCTGCCATGAGGTTTTCCTGCTGCTTCAGCAGCTCCTGCGTCTGCAAACGCTGGCCTTCCAGCTCACTTGCCTGGTGAGGAGAGGAAGACACTTGCACGTGAAGCCCCAGCCAAGCTCCTCAAAGGAAGAAAGGAAAGCTTCATCGCTCCCACAACCCCCAACTGCAAAGGAGGTTCAGCAGGGGTAAGAAGTGGAAACGTCCCCCTTCGCTGCCATGCTGAGGGTAGGGACGACCAGCCTTCTGGGGAACTTGTCTTATGCTCCCCATGAATTGTTGGCTGCATTTCCTCTCCCAGCACTGTCCTGTTTTTCTCCATGGGCCTTCAAGTACGAGCCCTTGGCTCTGTTGCCTTGCCCAGCAGTGTCTGTCCTACGGCAGACGAGCACTGCCATTTCATGCTGTCATTCTGCTACGGGCAGCCACAAAGCTTGCCTGAAAAAATTCAGAGGCGTATTGGTTCCTACCAGGTTTTGCAGGAGCTTTCTTTTCTCCTCCTCATGAGCACGTTCCCAAAGCCTGAGCGTGTGGCTGCACTGCTGCTCTGCCCAGCGCAGCTGCTGGGCCACGTCTTCCCGTTCCCGCTTCAGGAGGGATCTCTGTGCTTCCAGGTCCCGCCGAAGGCACTTCAC